TGCACTGAAATGCCAATTGCACACAAGAAAGGGAATTACACACCCATTAGAGTCACAAATAGCAAACTGCTGTCTATATCCAACAAATTAGCAATGAGAACCATAGGTTCCCTACAAAACAACATAAGACTATCCAGCAAACAGTAAAAAGCAACAGAATCAAGAGATTAAGTACTAAAAAATGTGGCTTATTTCAATTTTGTATATTTGTCAGACCTGTGATTAACTCAATCAAAGTAAGACCATATTCTATCATATATTTCATGTAGTCACCACATGTTCAATTTGCTGTAGGGCTCTGCTCTTATGCAATTAAAAGAAAATTAGCAAGTCTTTCCCCAGCAGAGTTAGCGATTGCCACTAGGGATTGCCACTGAAAGGAAATGCTTCACGCCAAGTTTTAGAAAGGAGAGATACTAGCTCTTAGGACACTTGCCTCCTTTTCTTCCCCCTTAACTTGGCCTAGGCCAAAGCCACGATAAAGGGAACATAAGCAGCTTTTTTACACACAGACTAATGTTGCCAGCAGCATTCCAGTGGCCTTGCTCACGGCAGGAGAAGGCGTAGGAACTAATACCGCTGGGTCTTGTTGAAGAAAAGTGGCCGGCATACTTTGATCAACTGAGTGGTGTGCTGATCAGTGTGATTTCCCTGTTCTGCTGACTGTGAGCATGTTGGGGAGAGCAGGAGAGCTGGCTTCTGAGAGGCCCATGCAGGGAAGCAAATACCATAGCTGCCGAATCACAGAAAGCAACAAGAAATAAAAGAGGGCTGAACTGGAAGCAGACACCTTAATTCTGCCAGCATGTTACTTACTGATATATGCATCTCTAGGAGGGGAATGAAGTAGGTACTTCTATAATTTTAATTCATCAATTGCAGTACTATACAAAACTATTAAGCACAATGTATAAGAGCAGAGTTCAAGCTCCTGAAACTATAATTTACAATTTTTAATTACTTCAATTTGATGGAGAAGACAAAGAATGGGAATTAATAAGATTTTTAAAAATTAAAATTGAGGAAACAGGAACTCATCAACCTATGTGGCTCTTGGCATAATTTGAGACAAAGGAAGTATGTTCAGCACCTGAGTGTGTGTGCAGGACTACAGCTATGGCATATACCCCTCTCTTCTATTTGCCAGAAAAACAGCTGCTGGATTAACATGAGTTAATCTGCTTGCATGCTATACAGATTTTTTTCTAGTAAATTGCAAAAATTTACCTAAAGATAAATATAGCAGTCTCCGAGTTCTCTGTCCCATTCAGCTGCTGCTGAGAAACACTTCTGTTATCTTAAATTTCATCAGCAGATTGTACTCCTTCCTGGGAAACAGCAGCAAAAAGTAGCTTTCTAAAAGCATAGTTAGTCTCTCTGAGGTAAAATACACCACATTTAAAGGGCTTCTTCCAAAAAGGATAACTTTCTACCTTTCAACTTTTAATTCTTGATAAATAAAGTATGTGATTTCTTACACTAGATCTAATCATTGCTGCTTTAAAGAGTAAATAGTCAATTGCAAATTGAGCAAATTGCCCTGGCTATCCTAGTACCAGAAATGAAATGGATTAGGTTAGCAGGTGGCATGTCATTTCAGTGCTGCCTGGGGGCCCAAAATATAGTTAGGTCATTTTTATTCTTGTGACAGCCGGAATGAAAACCAGAGCATTTAGCATTACCTCCCGCCTCCATTCTTGTAGCCATTTTGGGCACAAAAGAGTTTACTAAGCCTTCATTTGCAGTGTTTAGACTCCTTCTGGGGCCAAGCTGCCCAAGGAAATCTGAAACAGAGTACTCTGACTTTGGTCTTGAGAAACGCAAAGCTTCTTGTCGACATAAGGAAAACTGAGTTCTCATTAACCGGCTGTTTTTAAGCACGCCAATGTGCAATTCCATTCTGCAGTACTTTCCTTGAAGGAAGAGAATGGTCATCATGCCTCAACTCGAGAGGGAAACTGTCTAGTCTCTGCTCCCATGGAGGAAGGTATTAGAAGAGAAAGGATTAAATGAAGGAATGAACTTAAGCTAAGAAGCAGAAAGAAAGGTGATACAGGGTAGGAAAACATGCAGAGGAAGAGAAGGTAAACGGAGAAAAATTCTATACAGAAACCAGAAGCCTCTTGCGATGTTAACATTTAAAATATCCAACAACAGCTTTTCTATCAAGCCACCTTTCCCCTGTATGTGTTTCAAAGTACTAGCAGAATTCCAAATATAAGGTGGCCTTCCAAAGTTTACTCCTATGAAAAGAGTCAAAGGAATAGTCAATAGTCAAGGTTCAGATGATCCAGGAGCAGCATGTGACCCAGGCCTAAACAATGAGGAGACTTCAGTTCCCCAGCCACAAAAGAAGAATGACTGATTTGAGAATGGACCTAAAAATCTTGCCCATGCTCTATGCTGGTACTTCCAGGAAAAAACAAACTTTCCCTCTTAATTGGAGTTGATAAAATGGCAGACTGTAAACCTAGAGCTGCCAGAGACAACCTCTGCCAGTAAAGACGGCCTATAAGCAAATGAAGACAAAAGAGGAAGAAATGTCCTAAGCCCCTAAATTCATCCATGCCTGAAAGCAATTACATCCCTGAACTTACTAGCTATATATGCCAATAAACCTCTTTTCCTTCAACAACGCTGAATTAACTTTCTATCACTGGAAACCAGAAGAGTCTTCACTCATACACCTACCAAATACCTTTGCACTAGCCACTCAACCTCACTACCTATCAGTTTTCTGAACTCTGAGAAGAAAAAACAAAAAAAACAAAGAAAAACATGTTTAAAGAATTGAGAACTGCTAACAACTACACAAGAGGCAACAATATTTTAACAAAACAGAAGGTAAGGATAGAAGAAATAAGATATTCATGGGGCTAAACGGCTCCTAGCTGCTAGTGCTGGTAAGACAACATTCTATTTCTACCATTCTTTCACCTTCCGCCCTGGTGGGCCTCTGAAATCTTTATCAAAGCAATTAATTGCCTAGTAAATCTTTAACTATTTTCCCTTTTACTTCCATTTAACAACGCTTTTCCACCTTCTTGGACATCTCTGACTAAGCCATCTGACCAGGCTTACCATGATGAATATGCAAAGGGATCACAAAAAAGGAAAATTAACAGTTCCATCTTCAAGGGGTGTGTGTGTGTGTGTGTGTGTGAGTGTGTGCGCACGAGAGAGAGAGAGAAAGAGAGAGAGAGAGAGAGAGAGAGCGCGTATCCATGCAGGTACATATGTGCTACAAGATGAGACCGAAGAATAATTCTCAGATGAAGGCAAATCAGGGAGGAAAAGCAGCTACCTCTACACAACAAGGTGAAAATCTAAGGGCCTCGAGTAATGTGTCCCCTCCCAAAGCATTATTATTCTAAAGGCAGAACTGAACTATTAAGATTACATTTTCAACTCAAAATTCATAATTAAATGTAACGTGTATTTTGGAAGTTGATTTAGTGTCCTGATAAATGTTTGGTTTCACAGAACACTAGATTACATCTCTCATGGATAACAAAATAAAACACTTTTCATACTATATGTATCTGATTTACAAAATATCAATACGAAAAGGATTATTAGTGAAACAAATACCTAAAAGCAAAAGTACTAACTTCTAGGCTTCTTGTGATGTAAGTGTGTAAATAAAAGCAAGAAAAGCACAACTAATATTTTGCAAGAGCTAGGAAGAAAAATCATAAATGTGTTATGCTTTCTACCTCCAAAGTTCCTGCACCTAAAAGATTAAGTATACATAAAATCATTCTTAAGAGGAGATTTTATTTGAAGATATTATCAATATCTTTGTCAATAATTAGCCTTTCTTCATTATATAAATATAATTATAGATGTATATAATACATCTATAATTATGCATTTACATAATATAATTATATATTATATTATTATAATTATAGATGTATTATATAATTATATTATAAAATAATTATATAATTATAAAAATATATGTTATATATTAATATATTATATATTATATATTACATATGTAATAAAGCAAAAGTATTATATAATATTGTAATATATAATATATGATAGAATATATTATTATATATATTATATAATAGAATACATTATTATATATATTATATATATATATATAATTATAATTATATATATAAAATGCCATGACTGGTAAAAAGAGCCCCATGGCTCAGCATGGGGTTCTAACCTTAATCAGTGCTTCACATAAGCTAAACATTAATTTTTCTTTTGTTTCCCATTATTCAAGAACTCATATAAAATATTCCAGATAAATGAGTTTCAATCCTCATCTTCCTCCTGTTCTTCTTCCTGGTTAATTTGGAAGTAACATAATTTGTAACTCTCTTTGCTGTTAGCAAGTATGTGCAACCAATCACATAAATTATTCTTCTTCAAGTATTTTTTTGTGATATATTTCAAAAACCTTTTGGAAAAAGGCATCTTAAAAGTTACAGTGATCTTGCTCTTGCTGCATTCGATGGTTACAACCCCTTCAATGAGATTTCCAGTTTTTCCATTCACTTTCTCTTGGAGAACCAGCTAAAAATAGGCAGCATCCAGGATTCCATTCAAACCTTGCTTCTTTTCCTCCCCTTCGCCACAGCTGTTTCACAAGCATCCTCATGGCAGTGGAGGAAGAAAGTTGAACATTAATGTTTTAAGCAAATAAAATATATGATGCTTTTCTTGAGGCTTCTGATCCACTAAAATGTTTCTGAAAACTAAAATACACTGGTAAAAGTTGCACTCCTCTAATTATAGTCAAAGAAGAATTTCAATCAACTGATTAAAAATTTTTTTTTCTAAAAGGAAAAGCTGAAAGTCAGAGTATTAATATGACAGTAACCCTTGAAAATTATATTACATAAAGTTTCTTCTCTAACAAGAGTCAAACAAATCATTAACTCTGACAAACTACCAACATACAGATTTGTCCTCAGATGATTCAGGAATAAACATACTATGCCAAATTGGCTCAGGGTTATCCAGTTTAGTTTGGGCAATATCAAACAACTTTAACTAAAATCTACTTACCTACTCCTACACATCTTTGTATGCCTGGGCCCCATTCTCAAAGATTCTAATTCAATTGGTCTAAGGTGCAGCCCTGTACGCAGGATTTTTCAAAAGCTTTTCATTTTATTAGGGTACAAGCTAGGGTTGAGAACCAGCAGTTTGCTAGTAGATGTGGGAATAGCCTTCAAATCAAAGACTAGATCTCATTACTCTACAACTGTTGAAAAAAATCATTCCTATTCAAATCATTATACCTTCACTAATATGCCACTAGAAGGTAAGTTCCTTAAGAAGAGAAACTTTATCAGCCTTGTTCATCACTGAGGCTAAATAGAATGCCTCCAAATAACAGACACTTCATAAATATTTGTGAATGAATGAATTAAATGCTGAAAGATTACCTTTCAGCTCTAGAACCCTGAAGCAATACAGTAGAAGCTCTCTTAACCAGTAGTCATTTGGACCAGCAGTTGATCAGATAAGGAGAAAGTGGTGGGGGGTGGGGGGAGTCATATAAAAGCAGGAAATCATGAAAATTTGATAAACATACCTAAGCATTTTATTCTAGTTTAAATGAACCTTCATTTGCTAATCTTGTAATATAGGACCAGGCTTTCTGTTTATATGGATTTACAGGTTAGAGTGCCAAAATATCTTTCTTTCATAAACCCTAACTATAGTGCATCTTCTACCATTTCCATTTTTGACTTTTAAATTATGGTGAAAACTTAAGATAATTGAAACAATCTGAAAGTGAATCCTTCTGGACATTAATAATTTAACCCATTCTGTTACAGTTGTCTTACCCAAATACAACTGAGCAGTAAATTCTTAGTAATTTTTTATCATTTCCAAAGCATTAAAGTATAGATTTCGTGAAAACAACTTGGTTTTTAAAAACTCTTTGGAGGCCGGGCGCGGTGGCTCAAGCCTGTAATCCCAGCACTTTGGGAGGCCGAGGCGGGTGGATCACGAGGTCAAGAGATCGAGACCATCCTGGTCAACATGGTGAAACCCCGTCTCTACTAAAAATACAAAAAATTAGCTGGGCATGGTGGTGCGTGCCTGTAATCCCAGCTACTCAGGAGGCTGAGGCAGGAGAATTGCCTGAACCCAGGAGGCGGACGTTGCGGTGAGCCGAGATCGCGCCATTGCACTCCAGCCTGGGTAACAAGAGCGAAACTCCGTCTCAAAAAAAAAAAAACTCTTTGGTTTAATAATAGTTAAATTACAATAACAAGAACAAATGGCAGAAACAGGTTGGGAAACAAACAGAGCTCACTCTTGATAACTGTTCTACAATTGATGGGAAAAGTGTGGACTGCACAGCAACTCACTAGAACAGACATTCAGAGTGAGGAGTGACAATTAAACCAGTGAGTCAGTTGAGACTTTGCTCTCCATAGAGCTTTTACTGTTATACAAATGCTAGCCACAGGTTTCTTTCCATTGACCTTTCCAATTCCCTAGGGCAGTCAATTCATCCCTTCACTAGCAGGTCATCTGAACTGAAATCCAACAAAATTACCAAGTCTATACATTACATCATCAAAAGACTGTCCTGCACAGAGGCAGCAGGAGTCATGAAATCTCTTAATGCAAACACCCCAACAATTTACATCCAGACTCCCTAATTTACCTTTAAGGCATTTATAAGTTACATAGCAGGGCATTCATTGAAAATATAATACGATCTAAGCCTGAAATCAGAATTTTTAAATGCTCAACAGACTATTTTACTTCTAATTAAAAGGATATGGCAATTTTAATAGTTTTGTTTTGTTAATTCAGAATCAGTTCCCATTTGGCAGGTGTCTCAAATGAGGACACTGGTGGCAAAGAACTGCTGCCACCAGGAGGCTCCTTAATGCACCTTTTATTGACAGTCTTGAAATTTAAAATATTTTTGCTTCATTACAACTCATGCAATACCTTTCCCAATGACAAGTTTTCCATGTAAACTGTTTTTTTTTTTTAAAGTTATTGCTTCTCTATTTCCTATCTTGAAGTAACAAGATACCCTTTATGTAATTTAATGCCTCCAATTTTCAATTTCATCTTATAAGGAGAAAACAGAACTATTTAAATTATTTTTTTAAGTTAGGTAGCAACTTAGCAATTTTGTTTTCATTCAAATCTTTCTCAAGAGAGTCAGTAAGTCCAACCTTATTCCATGGGACACCGGGCAGGAGATTCAGAGAGCAAAACAGGCTGCATTTTCACTGGGTTGGGCTGTGTGGGTCAGTTTTTATGACAAAGATAACTCAAATTATGTCCAGGTTAAATATGGAGGTGATGACAAAAGGAAAACTTTTACTTTAAGAACCTGTAAGCCCTGATAGTTCTCAAATTAGTATGAGCTAATATCACAGTCAAGATTTTAAAACAAGAAACTAAAACTTTTAAAAAAACAGGTCCTTGTAAATGTCTTTCTAAAAGGGAGAATGTAGACAGGAGAAATTAACAGTTTCTGTTAATATCAAGGAATCTAAACTTGTTTGACATAGACAATGTCATTTTTGTTGCCCATCAAACACTGTTTCACCTGCACGTTTAATTGACCAATAATGGCTCTCCCCAATCAATGAATCAGGATTTAGTTGCAGAAATACAACATAAATTTATTTCACATTTGCTGCTGCTTAAAAGACCCTTAGAGAGGGAAACTTTAAGATTAGCTATAGAATCCTTGTGCTTTGTGAAAACCCCGACACTTTTAGTCAACAATCCTTATGCTGTCCTTCTTCCCGGGACTCAGTTCCATAAAACAATTACATTTACAAGCACTAATTGTGGGCTGAGGTGCTTTTTGCTTATCTATTTTAAAAACTAATCAAGTACCACAGCTTAAAGGTAACTGATTTTATTTGCCTTAAATATAGTAAAAAAAAAATAAAAAAAAAAGATGGTTATAGTAAGTGCTGAAAAAGTTAAAATGTTAGCACACAAAAAAATATTATTAGCATTAGTCTCTTTTGGTTTATATAAAAACTACAACTGAGAACCTTTTCCCAAGTTCATTTTGTGCCTAAGGAAACAAAGAGCAGAACAGTTCTTTTTACTGGGTCATGTCCAGTGGGCTATTAATGCTTAAGACCTTTTTATTTTTCATCTTTGAACTATATAAACAGTTACCATATCAATGTACACTCAACTCAGCTATCTTTGCAGGTCTGTAAGTTTTATGGAAGAGGGTTTCCCATCAGCCTTCTTCAACCAGAATTCCTCATTTAAACCAAAAAACACAAATATTTCAGTGACTATTTTCTCAATTATCAATCTAGATGCACAGGAATGTTAATTCAGTACATATAACAGATGCCAAGAGCATTAGGGCTTAATTTTCCCAATGAACCCAGGCTAGTTTAGAAACTGCAAAACAGAATGAAATTTCTTGACTTAAAAAGGAAAAATTGTACTTTCCATTCTCCATGTTTTGCTTTTCAAACAGAGGAAAAGAGAGAGAGAACTGGTATCTCTTTCAAAATGTTATCTATAATATGACTCAAGCTGAAATAAGTAAAATCACCTAAAACCCTAACTCCAGTAGCAAGAGGTCTCACAAGTGCAAAAGGCACTAGGCTGTTCTAGAACTTATCCTAGCTCACTTGAAGGAGGACCTACCAAACTGAGATCAGGTCTCGTGAGAAGGCACTCCACACTAACCTTGGCTTAAATGCATCATAAATTTTCTAGATGAGAGCCGACTCAGAGGAGCAAAGTGTAAAAATATGGTGTTTAAGGGAATTTTCCTCTAAAACTCCAGTCTCACACAGAATATTTTCAAGTTTGTCACTGGGTGACTTAACTACTAACCTGACTGACAGGCACAAATCAAGAAAAAAGTCCAATCTGTTTTTGGTGGACATTCAAAACATACCTGTTTTCCTACTTTGCAAAGGTTTTTCTGTCAGTTAAGTTTCCAACCTGGAGAACTCCAGTCCCCTAACATAATCACCTCTAAGAAAAAGCCTTGTTAAATGTGAAGGATCTCACTTAAACCTGCAGAAAACAGAAACTAGAAAGTCATAGCCTGAACACCTCCTTACACTCTACTGCTGCCCCACCATAGAGGTGAGAGGAGGAGAAAGGTTAAACTGTTAATATTCTTAGATGTCAAGTATCATAACCTCAAAACTTCCAATCACTTACTTGGAAAAAATGAATGGAAACATCCAACAGAGGAAACATTATAGGTGTTTCCTTTTTACACTAGGCTTAACTGTGTCATATTGTTGGTAAAATGAAATCTGATTAAGACTTTGAAAGGATATTTTGAAGGCAGTTTAAAGGAAATTCAACTTCTAACAGATGACTAAAAAGGGCAGGAACTTAGTCTTGTAGGACTGATATATTCTCAGCATCTAGAAAGGTACCTGGCACATAGAAAGTGCCCAATAATTAGTTGCCAAATGAATTGAGGGTTAAAACTTTTCATTAGATTCAAGGTAGGAATTCTACCCAACATATTAAATAACTTCTCCTTTAATAAAATGACCCTAAAAATGGACAGTCTTTCTAGAGAGCAATTAGGTAACATAAAAGGCTTCAGAAACTTTTTAGAATATCTGCCTAACTCACAACTCTTTTCTCCGAGAGGGGCTCTCTGGTGTAGCCATGTCTGCATTAGTAATGTGGTCCCCTGGCTCAAGGCAGGCTCAAAACAGTCTCCTTCCAAAAATCTAGAATCAGAACAAGCCAGTGAGTCTGGGATGGTATCTAGAAAGAAGAAGATACAAACATGGCAACTTCGCAGTGACCAGCCTTCTGCCGGCTATGAATACAGGAGAAGCTGAGAAAGTCAATCTCTAGAGAGGGGAAATGAAGCAGATGCAGAGAAAGACAAAGAGACACAAGAGACAAGAGACTCCAGTTCCAGCTCCAAAAACTGCCCCAGGGTCACCCAAGATGCCCTAATACAGTTCCAATAATTCCCCTTCATGAATAAGCTAGTTGGAGTAAGATTGTACTACACCTATCAAATGAGTCTTCAAAAAGATATGTAGAACCATCTATTTATTTATTCCTTATCTGACTTTTTTAACATCTAGGAAATAATCAAAATTATGTACAAATATTTATGTCCATGGAGGTACACTGCAGAGCTAGGCATAAATCAGTAAAACATTGGGAATAATTTAAATATCTAAAAATAGTGAGCTGATTAAATAAACCCTGTATGATATGATACCCTACCCAAATGATAGGATACTAACAAGCCACTAAAAAATATTATTCCTGAAGAATAATTAAGAATGTAAAGAAGAGGTCGGGTGTGGTGGCTCACACCTGTAATCCCAGCACTTTGGGAGGTCAAGGCAGGTGAATCTCCTGAGGTTGGGAGTTTGAGACCAGCCTGACCAACACAGTGAAACCTTGTCTCTACTAAAAATACAGAATTAGTGGTGGTGCATGCCTATAATCCCAGCAACTCCAGAGGCTGAAGCAGGAAAATCATTTGAACCCGGGAGGTGGAGGTTTTGGTGAGCCGAGAACACGCCATTGCACTCCAGCCTAGGCAACAAGAGCAAAACTCCGTCTCAAACAAAAACAACATCAACAACAAAAAGCAAAAACAAAAACCAAGAATGTAAAGAAATGCTCAAGATATAGACAAAATAAGTATTTCTAAAATAATAAGCACAATACCAATCTCAATTTTATTTATTTATTTATTTTTAACAGACAGGGTCTCACTGTTGCCCAGACTGTAGTGCAGTGGTATAATCATAGCTCACTTTAACCTCAAATTCCTGGGTTCAAGCAATTCTCCTCCCTCAACCTCCCAAGTAGCTGGAACTACATACACACTTGCTACCATACCCAGCTAACTTTTTAAAATTTTGTGTAGAGATGGATGTTGCTCTGCTACCTAGAGTACAGTGCAGGGATTACAGGCATAAGCCACTGTACCTGGCCTTCATTCATTCATTCATTCATTCATTCGAGACAGAGTCTCAGTCTGTCACCCAGGCTGGAGTACAGTGGCGAGATTTTGACTCACTGCAACTTCTGCCTTCCATATTCAAGCAATTATCCTACCTCAGCCTCCCAAGTTAGCTGGGATTACAGGTGCCCACCACTATGCCCAGCTAATTTTTAAAAATTATTATTTTTAGTAGACAAGGGGTTTCACCATGTTGACCAGCCTGGTCTTGAACACCTGACCTCAGGTGATCCACCCACCTTGGCCTCCCAAAGTGCTGGGATTACAGGCATAAGCCACCATGCTCAGCCCATTTTATTTTTTAATACAAATTTATGGCACAGAAAAAAAGGCTCAAAGGATCTAAAACATGGAAGTAGGATCACAGTTAAATTTGATTTCTCTCTTTGCTGAATTTGCCAAATAAACATGCATGACTTTTTAAAAACAGGGATGGCCTGGCTGGTCTCAAGCTCCTGGCCTCAAGCAATCCTCCCATCTCAGCCTCCCAAAATGCTGAGATTACAGGCAGAAGTCACTACACCTGGACCATGATTTACTTTTATAAACTTTTGAAAAACCAAATGTTTAAAGAAATGATGGACTTCAATTCCTACTGTCAATATACTAGTCTCCTCCTATAGCTCTAAGGGGAAAAAAAGGCAAGAAACAGTAAGCTGTAATCTTAGCACATACTCATATAAAATTATACCATATAAAATAAGAATTCATTTTAAAGAAATTTAAGAATTCATTATTAAAGAAAAGAGACTATTTTTGAGTAGATGGAACCACTTATTGTGGTTTTGATGTGCACTTCTCTAAAGATCAGTGATGTTGAGCTTTTTTTCATATGATTGTTGGCCACATGTATGTCTTTTTTTTGTTTGTTTGTTTTTTGAGACAAAGTCTTGCTTTGTTGTCCAGGCTTCTCGGCTCACTGCAACTTCTACCTCCCAGGTTCAAGCAAGTTTCCTGCCTCAGCCTCTGGAGTAGCTGGGACTACAGGTGCATGCTGTCATACCTGGCTAATTTTTTGTGTGTTTTAGTAGAGGCGGGGTTTCACTGTGTTGCCCAGGCTGGTCAGGAACTCCTAAGCTCAGGCAATTTGCCTACCTTGGCCTCCCAAAGTGCTGGAATTGCAGGGGTGAGCCACTGCCCCCCAGTCATATTGTCTTCTTTTGAAAAGTGTCTGTTCATGTCCTTTGCTCATTTGGTAATGGGGCTGGTTTTTGTTTTTTTTTTTCTTATAAATTTATTTAAAGTCCTTAAAGATGCTGGATATCAGACCTTTGTCAGATGCACAGTTTGCAAACAAACTGTGGCTGTTTACTCCATTGATAGTTTCTTTTGCTGTGCAGAAGCTCTTTAATTTAATTGGATCCCATTTGTCAATTTTTGTTCAATTGCTTTTGGCATCTTCATCGTGAAATCTTTTTCCATACTTATATCCTGAATGGTATTGCCTAGGTTTTCTATCAGTTTTAGGTTTCACATTTAAGTCTTTAGTCCACCTCGAGTTCATTTTTGTATATGGTGTAAGGAAGGGCTACAGTTTTAATCTTCTGCATATGGCTAGCCAGTTATCCCAGCACCACTTACTGAATAGGTAATCCTTTCTCCATTGCTTGTTTTTGTCAGGGGTAGCTATAGGTGTGTGGTCTTATTTCCGGGTTCTGCATTCTATTCCATTAGTCTGTAAGTCTGTTTCTGCACTAGTACCATGCTGTTTTGGTCACTGTGACCCTGTAGTATAGTTTGAAGTTGATTAGCGTGATGCCTCCAGCTTTGTTCTTTTTGCTTAGAACTGTATTGGCTATTCAGGCTCTTTTTTGATTCCATATTAATTTTACAATAGTTTTCTCTAGTTCTGTGAAGAACCTCAATGGTAGTTTAATAGGAATAGCATTGAATCTGTAAACTGCTTTGGAGAGTATGGTCATTTTAATGAGTAAATCCATATTTAAGGCTTGTATTATTATATAAATAACACTAATTTGTTGGTGAGACAACTATACTTACTTTCTTGTACAACATTTTGCTATTCCTGGAACTAAATATTGACTTGCTTTGTCATTTGCTTGGTTTTCTACATTCCTATAAGTAATTCTTTCCCATACTTTCCAAAGAAACTATAAAATGTCTCCCAATAATGGCTCAAAACACATTGTATGATATATTGGTCCACTTTCTTAGCTTCATCTCTCCTAAGTCCTCCATCCTCCTGTTCAACCTAAACTGGCTGTTTTCTAAACCTGCTGTACAACAGTTATCTGGGTTTTTCCCTTCATCGAATGGGATTTTTTAAAAAATTGAATTTCCTGTTTCCTGAACCAGTGCCTTCATCTTTATTGGTTTACTTTCTTGTTTTGATGGAGAACTTCCTCCAATAGCTTCCTCAAAAAAGATGTATGGGAGGTAAGTTTTGTGACCTTGCATGTCTTAAAATGTCTCTATTCTATCCCCAGACTTGATCAAGAGATGGGTTGGGTATAGAATTCTACACTGAAAATCACTGTTTTTCAGAATTTGTAAAACATCATTCCAGTACTTCTAGCTTTCTTTGTTGCTGCTGAGAAGTCTAATGCCATCTGATTCCTAATCCCTGTTTACAACTGTTTTTGTTGTTTTTTTTTTCCTCTGAGGAAGCTTTTAAGATCTTTCATTCTTGTTCTGCTTAAGTTTCACCATGTTGTGCCTTGGTACGAGGGTGTGAGGTTCACAGTTTTAGGCACTCAGTGGATTCTATTAATCTGGAATTATATGCCCTTCAGTTGTGGGAATTTCATTATATTAGTTATTAGATGGTTTTCTCTTCTCCATTTTCTCTGTTCCCTTGTCTCAGAACTTTTATTAGCCAGGCATGAAACTTTCTGGGTGACCCTCTGAAAATTTTTCTGTATTCCACTGTCTATCCCCTACTTTTGTCTCTTCTATCTATTTATTGAGAGACAGCTTCAATTTCGTTTTCCAACCTTTTTTTTAAAACCAAGAATTGTTTTTGTTTTCTAATTGTTCCTTTATTCCTAGCATTCTCTCCTTGTTTCATTGATGCAATATCTTTTACTGATCTAGGGATCTAAATTTATAGTTATTTTGAATTGTCCCTTCCAATTCTCTTGGCCAGTTCTGACTTGCACATTAGCGGCTTCCCTTAAATATACGGTGATTCTTGGCTAGTTCATATTTAAGATTGAAGTGCTAAGAATGTGGAGCCACTAGAACTCTCATATACTGCTGGAAGGAATGTAAAATGGTACAACCACTGTGGAAAACATTTTGGCAGTTTCTTAAAAAGTTAAAAAATACACCTACTATACAACCCTGACATACTAAGGCATATACGAAGAGAAATGAAAGCAGATCTCCACATAAAGACTTGAACGTGAATGTTCAAAGTAATGTTATTTATAACAGCTAAAAACTGGGTTACAAAAGCAGACCAGTGTTTTCTTGGGGCCTGGATTGAGGGAAGGATGAGAGAGAACCAAGAACACTTCAGAGGTGATGCATATGCTCATTATCTTGATCGTGATGATGGTTTCACACCACCAAAAATTAGACTCTTTCAAGGTGTATCATTTATTTTACATTAATTATGTCTCAATAAGTCTATAAGAGAGAGGTGGGGAGAGGAATAGAGACAAAGAGAACTAAAAATAAA